GATATTCTTTTCTTTTCTCCTCTTATCACTTTTTCTCATTTTTTCCCTCTCTCTTTTCCTGTTTTTCCTTTCCATTTTTATTTTCCCTCCCTTCCCTTTTCCTCTTCTTTTTCTTTTCTCTTTTCCTCTTCTTTTTCTTTTCTCTTTTCCTTTTCCATCTCTTTCCCTTTTCTCTTTTCCTTTTTCCTCTCTTTCCCTTTTCCTTTCCTTTTTCCTCTCTTTCCCTTTTCCTTTCCCTTTTTTCTCTCCTCTTTCTTCTCCCTCTTCTTCCCCCTTTTGCTTTCCCTTTTTTCCCTCTCCTTTTTCCTCCTCTTTTTAATTTTCTTTCTTGCTTTCCCTTATCTTTTGATTTTCTTTCCCCCTTTCCTTTCAGGTTTTGTTTTTATTTCATTTTAATTTATTTTTCTACATTTTAGTTATTTTCCCTTTACTCGCTCATTTCCATTTCCTTTTTCTTTTTTCCTTTTCTTTCTCCTTCTCTTTTTCTCCCTCTAATCTAATTTTTCGTTATATATTCCTCTGTCTTTTTGTCATCTGTTTATCTGTTTATCACCCTTCCTTCCTTCCTTCCTTCCTTCCTTCCTTCCTTCCTTCCTTCCTTCCTTCCTTCCTTCCTTCCTTCCTTCCTTCCTCCCTTCCTCCCTTCCTCCCTTCCTCCCTTCCTCCCTTCCTGTCCTTCCTCCCTTCCTCTCTTCCGCCTTCCTTCTTTCCTTTCCTCCCTCCTCTTTCCCTGCTTTTTTCTTCTTTTTCCTCACCTTTTTTCCCCTCTGTCTCTGTCCCTCTGTCTCTGTGCCATGGGAGTGACTCCAGCGAGCGGAGCCACTTGAATCCCGGTCGGGCCGGGCCTGCCTCGGCGCTTTCTTGGGATGTGGGTAGTGTGAACTGACTCGACCCTTTTCGCACGTTTCTGGACCGTGTGGATGCTCTCTGTACCCGCTGGAACCAGGTGTTGGTCCCTCCTGTCCCCGGCCTCTCCGGCCGGTGTTGAACACCCGAGACCCTCGGTAAMAGTGAGCCCCCTGGGCAACTGTGCCCAGACAACTGGAAGGGGAAAAAATCCCATGTGTCCCCAAATGGGCATTCCACGGAAGAGTGATGAAAAATCACCCTGAACCATTTTTACCCTGTCTGTGTCCGAGTGCTTGTACTAGTGGGGAACTCTTTCGAGCGTGGAAAAAGGGGTTGGTGTGAAAATTAATTTTATTTTAATTACGAAGCTTGGCTAAAGCTGGTGCTTGTTGGTCCTCCGCTTGCAACGATGTTTCACTCTGTTTCTGAATAATTTCTTGCTGCTCTGAATTGATTTAGTTTAAATTACAAAGCTGCGGAATACACTTGGAAAAAAGGCAGATAGGATGGTGCTTCACCTTGACTTTGGCACAGCCAGCCAGACCAAGGGTACCTCCGGGAAGCTCGAGTTAAATCTCCGAGTTTGAAATTATTATTCATTCTTTTCCGCCCTCGGGTGACTTCGCAAATATTCTAAAAGTAAAACCAAAATAAGTGCTCTCCTGCTGGTTGCAGTGGAGCCAGCGAGCGCTCAGCCGCGGCCAGCCCCGCAACCCCCGAGCGCACTCAGGCTAGGCTCCGGCAGCGGGCGTGGAGAGGGGGAGCTGCCCCTGAAAGAGACGGATTCGCATTTGAATTRGGGGGGAGAGAAATGCTAAACCGCTTTTGGAAGTGCCGAGGCAGAAGCTGGGCGGCTCCGGTGCGTGTCCAGCACCCAGGGGACCCTCTTTTTCCTCCCTCTTGTTGAGGAGACGGTGAGGGGGCTGAGGGTCGCCCCCGCCCCGGACCTGCTGTCTCCCTCTTCGCAGCGCCCCGAGGGAGCTGTGCCAGAGCCGGGCACTGGCAGCGGTGACAGCTTCGGCCACGGGTCTGCGCTGGAGCGGGGGGACCCGGGCCCTGAGCCCGCAGCGCGGTCCGCCCGCCCCGGCCCGAGCTGCGGTACCGCAGGGGCTGCGCGGGCAGCGGCTGCCCAGCCCCACGCTCGGCCCGGCGGCGCCGGCCCTTGCTCCTCGCTCCGCGCCTCCGTCCCGGCCGGGAGCTCGCCGCCCGGCACCTCTAGGTCTTTTTTTCCTAGCGGAAGCAAAATTAAAAAATCCCTCCAGCACAAACGTATTTTCTCTCTTTATACTGTAAGGAACTGATGGCATACTGAAAAAAAAAAACCAAAAAAAAACCCCGAGTGCTTATTTGAGGGACTCCTCATGCAACTTCTTCCCTCAAAGTGGAAGGTGGTATGGCGCCCATAGGGCTGCCCTTGCATGAGAAACGGATTCAAAAGCAGACGACAGCATTKCTTCCTTTATATCTTTAATAACCGAAGTATTCGGAACTACTAATATTTGGTTCCTTTCCGTACTCAGTTTGTGTTTTCCTTAAGCCGCAGCCAGGCAAAGTTACTCAGAGGGCAGCCGAAGCTGTGCTGTGCCTCTCAGCAGCTGAGCAGAGGGTGGGGATCACCCCAGGCAGCGATGGGGGTGAAACCCAGCGACAAACTTGACTAACGGGGTGAGCAAACAGCAGTCTGGAAACGCCGCAGCCGAGCTACTCCTTGGGCAGACGGCGTGACTGACCGGACCCGCTGCAGCCGGGGGCTGCGTTTCACCACTTTCACGGGGTCTCATCATAAGCGCTTCACCGCTGCAGATAAAGCACCTACCAAATCAAATCATGAACGAGAGAACAGCCGCCAGGGCGAGCGCGGGGTGCGGGCGGACAGGAGGAATGAGCGGCCCATCCGAGACCGGGGCAGCGGAGAACAGGGACGAGCAGCATCCCGGAGGAGGCAAAGTGGCGAGAGAAGGGTGGCTCCCGCAGAATCCCCTCTGGGCCTCGGGGAAACAGCCCGCGGAGCCCCCGGGGGGCGGCAGGGTAGYGGGGACAGTGGGGTCCCGGGCAGCGAGGGGCGGGGTCCGGGGGCAGGGAGGGGCTGAGGTGCGACGGGGAGACCAGTTACTCCGGGAGAAAGCTAAGAGGAAGTGTGAATGAATTCACAGGTACACAGAAGAAG